GAATAATTCTTAACACCCCCCTTAAAGTCATGTAAAAAAATATGATCGAGGCTTAAAAAACAATGGTGTTCAGGGTCACAACCAAAATTAGACTGAGCATAAATGAAGCACACGATAAATCAAAAAATCAGTGCAGGTTGGCTGAAGAAAATGAAGTATGAATGAATAAATGATCTTTATTTACAACTGGTTTACATAAAAGTTGTACACATACTATACATATAGAAAAGAACTATAGTATAAATAAATTAATAACTATATATGATAAAATTGTAATTTACAATTTAAAAAGCTTAACTACATGTAGAACTGTTGACAAGAATTGAACAGTTTCAAATCTTACTTCTAAATGATGACAATGATTTAGAATGTTTAACCTCTGTCGAGAGAAAGTTCCACAGCTTTGTTTTGTAATTTTTGCAGCTTATTGGCTATTAAACCCTTTGTTGAATTATCCCAAACCACATTACAGTAATTGAATTGTGAATATAAATTATGTAGATTGAAAAGACCTGGATGGAAAAGACTGTGGATCGAAAAGACTGGCTACCAATTCTAGCCATAGTAAATTGTATTATCATCAGCAAACGTCCTCGAAGTTGAAAAATTTAGACAATGTGGTAAATTGTTAGCGTAAGTTAGAAAAAAAAATTGAGAGAACGAGAGAGAGAGAGAGAAAGATGAAGAGAGATAGAGGGAGGGAGAGAGAGAGAGAGAGATGAGGCTAGTTCTGCCTAAAAGTATATTTTTTCTGAGAAGCAACGTCAATGAAGTACCCTACAAATTGTACTTACCCAGTTTTATGCATATTTCTCTTTTCTTTTGTTCCAAATTCTCCCTCAACATTTGAACCTGTTCTGTCATTACACCAACAGTGGATTCACTATTGTTAACTTCTGTTAGAAGCTCCTGTAAGCAATAATATTCATTCTCATTATAAACTAATAACAAATTAACTATGACTGCAACATTACACACAATATAAACCTTTCTAATAGTTTCTGCAATGCCTTATTTTCCGAATTTGAATTCAAGTTTTTTTTTTCAATTTTTTTTTTTTTTAATGAAATTGGAAAGATTAAATCTATTGTCAAGCACATAAAATAAAGCAATGTGGGATTTATCATAAGGGTCTATTGGATCTCAACTGCCGAGAATGGTTCCAGGGTTTAAAATAATGATAAAGACAACAGGTCAAATTAGTTAGCTAAGTCAAACCTCATTCCTGGCTCAACATTACTGTTCAAAATGACCAGCGAGGCAAAGATTTGACTGGACAAGTCCCATTTCTGGTCGGACATTGTCTGATGTCCAGCCATTATCTTAAGCCCTGGGTACAAGGGGGTGATTTCTTTATGACAACAAAAAAAAAGATTTTTTGTTTGTATCTAGTAAATTAACTTATGTACACTGTACCTTCATTTTGGTCATTAAAGAAATACACATTGAATGTGTAGCTAATGGTTGTTGTAAGCATCCATCCTTGTCAATAAAGTCTTCTCTGGTTTAGGAAAGATTAATATGTTAGTCAATATGTTAGCTTAGTACACTTGCTCTGATTGGTTGAGAATTGTGCTTTATTAGCAGAGCACAGTTGCTGGGAAACCAGTGACAAATAAAACTTCAATCTAATGTTGCAAACTTGGTGTCAAAGTATGAAAGGAATTCAGGGGCGGCAGAAGCTAAAAATCTTTGGGGGGGGGCACTGAAAATTATATTTAACGCTATGTGATAATGACAATGTTTTGTTTGATTGCAGACGCATTCTCCGTAAAACAATGACTAAGAACCAATATTTTGGGGGGGGCACATGCCCCCCCGGTTTCGCTGCCCCTGGAATTGAGACATTTTTTCACTATGAAACCTTGATGTGAAGCTAGCAACAACCCATGGTGAAAAAAAACTGTGTGCCACCTTAAAAATTACAGCTGTACCTTTCTTCTACGTTTGTAATTACTAACATTTTAACATGTAAAATTAAGTAAAACACTCAAAATATATCACTATCTACTTACATCAAGACTCCCCTAAATAATAGGCCCTTCGCAGTTAAGGGTCATGTGTCAATTGGTAATTCTTTTTAGCTACTAGTAAAGAACTGAATGAAACAATGTGTAACCAGTGTGTTACCAAATGCAGTTTGATTAAAATCTCTCGAAACAGGTTGTAGAAATCTTGTTTGCTCACCAGTATATTTCACCCATGGGAATCAAGGTGTTCATTTGTTTGCTCTCAGTGAATTAATCATCACGTGATTACTGAGCTGCAAAGGGCCTATTAATCAATAGGTCTATTAGCTAAATGCAATCATTATAATTATTATTAAAATTGCTTGTTTATATAATATTATCTTTTACCCCTACATTTCTCTGTAATGTGTTACTCCAGAAATTATCCATATCCCCAAATAGAGGAATTTTTTAAAGACCCCCTCATTACCCCCAGATATTCCAATTTTCTTTCATACAAACTCTGTAATTTTTGTTCTTTCTCTGACCCCCACCCTTTGGAAATTCCAAATTCCTCTGTGAGATGGGTATGGATAATTTCTGGAACTACACAATCTGAGTTGTGAGAACTGAATAGTTTTCCAGCTAAATACATAACCTTTACTTCAACATAATGAAATGCACACCTCAAGGCCACAAGACGTGTTCTTACAAGTTGCATGTGTTCAGTGCACAAATACAACACTTGCCTGTATATATTTATAACGTCTGTAAATACTTTTGATGGGGTTCTTATTGTTTCTGGCTGTAACCTGTACTCAGAGTGGCATGTGTCACCCAAATTAACTACTTTCATCTCATGGTTTGTAAAAGTGCTGTAACGACAAATGCAACACAACTCAGTAAACACACATTACATGTACCCTCTTGAAATAAAGTTACAGTATCGCACTAGCCATTCCCATACAAAACAATCTCTTCCTCAATATGGAAGCTGCTAACTGTATTATAATGTGCAAACATACATTACAGTGCAACCACTTAAACAGAGAGAAACAATCAAATTGTATAATAAAAACAATAGCAAAAAGGTAGTAGAAAATAGACTAGCTTTATGAGTTTTAAGATTTATGGGTGCAACAACAGGACAAAAAAACAGCACATGCTCCCTGTATTTTCATATTTCCTCAAATTTTCAGGAACATTCCTATATTTTTGGAAGTACATGTAAATTTTTTCTTTGCTTTTTTAAAAAAAAATAGTTGCTCTAGCCAATCAGCTCATGCATTTTTGGGAGTACATGTAAAATATTTCTTTGCTTTTTTGAAAAAAATAGTTGGTCTAGCCAATCAGCTCATGCATTTTTGGGAGTACATGTAAAATTTTTCTTTGCTTTTTTGAAAAAAATAGTTGGTCTAGCCAATCAGCTCATGCATTTTTGGGAGTACATGTAAAATTTTTCTTTGCTTTTTTGAAAAAAATAGTTGGTCTAGCCAATCGGCTCATGCATTTATGTTGAGCTATGGAATTAAATTGAATGGAGTTTTGCATTACTATAGTTGGCAGATTCACAATGTGGATGACTTCTGCCTTCTGGTTGCTTCATGCTCTGCATTTATCAGTCATGATATACTAAAACAAATATGGTACTCACCCCATTACATGACTAGACGAAACAATGTTATAGTCAAAGGAGTGAACAGACATCCCAGCTGATGTGGATGCAGTAAAAATAATAAAAACGAATTCTGTAGGATAATAAATGATAAAAAATAGTTATATATAATGTAATATTTAATAGTAACTAATAATAATCATTTATTTCTTATGAAAAGCATTTAAAAATTCTAATGGAACATCATACACTGATGAAGTTTGTGCCTTATTTGCAGAAAACACTGAAAATGTTAAGAGGAAATTATTTTCAATAACTAGCAATAATGGCAAAAAGCGCCAAAAGCTAGACTTTCGCATGAGTTTTGATCCCAATTTTCGTTTTGGGTTAACACTCAAAACCCTTTTTTTTAACAGTTAGAAACTGATGTATCATGATAAAATGCCTGTTTGAAGCGGTATTTTCAATTGTACAAAGATGTTTTGTTGCATTTGTGTTAGATTGTAGCTTTGTCAAGTTTTTTTTATAGAAAATGTAGGGGAAATAAGCAAATGAAGGCCTAAACATTATTTTCGATTCAAATTTTTGCTTTGGGTTAACACTTTGATTCCACTTCATTGGCCATCTCCACTTCCAAACAAGTTAAACTTTCTAAATAACAAGATTTTAGCCTTGTACAACAGCCTTTCTTCAAGAAAATAGTTTTTGGCGCTCATCCCTTGAATATGAAAGAATTTTCTCTTAATCCATACTGCAAACATTTTGCTAGGGCTAGCAAAATGTTTAGGTTCAGAAAAACACTAAAAAACCTCAAAATGTCCAGGAATCCAAGGGTTAATAATTAAACTTTGAATGAGACCAGCCCATTTTTCTTGGTTGTGAGATATTCTTAAAGCTTACCCTTGGCTGGTGTAAAATTGATTTCCCTGATGAGATTATGATGAACATGTCTTTCCCTCATGGAAACAAAAGACTGTGTGTTTCTTCTATATCTATACCAACCAATTACATTCTAAAACCAAACAACACCAGTCACATAGTTAGAAGTCTGCTCTAATAACACCATAATTATAGCCAATGACAAGTTTATTCTCAAGCTTTCAAACAATTTGCCCGCAAGCTGGTGCTGCACAATAGGGCTCAGTGTCCCCTTCGAGGTACATTGCACCAATTTCCAACCCCGTAAAATCACCATACCCAACCCATTAGTAAAGGCCAGACACTGAGGGTGGTCACTGCAAGGGTTTGTTTATGTCCTCAGTGGTTCTTTTGTATCCCTCCCCTGAAGGGTGAGGTAGTGTGGAGAGAGGAGACTGCCATTTTACCTGGTCATCCGAGCCATGTGAAGGTCTATCCATTTGTATTAATAATTATTATTTGTAATATAACAATTATTGTTATTACAAAGGCAGCACCTTCTCCTCAGTTATTTTAAATAAGACTCTAAGTGTTGGTCTGGCTGGGACTTGAACTACGACGTCCCGCACGAAAATCTGATGCTCAACCAACTTAGCCAACCTGGTGGCAGTTAAATGTCTAAATCTCTAATCAGCATTAAAGACCAAAGTTTTCAAAAAGTTTCTGCTAAATACTTTTAGTCAGCAGAGTTACTCCAATTTATAAGTTTAAAAAGACTTTTTATACAGTACCTCCTTATTTTTTCCAAGAAGTATTTCAATCTTTTTCTTGTCAATACTTCCCACACTGTCGTAAAAACTGCAAGGAAAAAAATCTTTAAAAATAAACTTTCTATTTATTACTGCTTAGCATACAGTTTGATTCTTTTTATTTATATGAAACTCTTTGCTCTTTGCCCATCTATTCTCATGATAATTACTATTCTTTCTGCATAGGTTTTGGTTATTTTGGTGGGGTTATTTTGTGCCATTTGAATGACAATTTCTTCCCCACCCTGGGGCATTTAAATTTTTTAAATGATCTTTGACAAATTCTCATCCCTTGCCCGTATAACCCTCCCCACCGGACTTACATTGATAGGTGAATTTTAAAACTGTTAACTCCTACTATCACCCATGGATTCCTACCATAACCTATGAACTCCGCATGTTGAAACAGGTATTCATTGACACACTAGTACATACAAGCACAAAATATCCCTTACTGTCATCGTGGAAGTAAAAAAGCCAACTACCACCTATTCGTTTATATTTAATAACTAGTACTTTAGCTAAAATGAAGTCTGTGCCTCGTGCATTATTAAACTAAATCTCGCGAAAGTTTATCAGGCTTTAAAATAAAAAAAGTATTTCCTTTAGTTAGGAATATATCATAATAAGTCGACAGAGTAAAAGAGTAAATAATTATATAAAAGAGTGTATAATTCTTTCTTTCTTTCAACAGGAAATGCTTGACAGAACGTACCTGAAAGCTCTTTCTCGCGGGATAAATCCTTGAATGGCTATAAAAGAAACGGCAGCAAAATTGACATAAAAATAAAGCTTTTAAACGATTGCATCAGAAATTGTTATAATCATTGGTTTAGTTAGATTAATTTGACTGACACTTACTTGCGATTCGTTCAAAACTCAAATGCTGAGAAGAAGAATCACTGATTGTGTTGACAGTTCTTCCGCTAGTGTCCCCCAACAGGAACCCTTCCTGGAACACAATCAAAACTCCGTTAACAAATTAGGTCTCTGTAGAATCTAACATGGCTTCCTTTTAGGACTCACCAAGTCTCCTTTGCCATTTGCCAGTTCTAGGAATAAAGAAGACAAAACAGGACCAGACACTCGAACCTCCATCTTGGATCAACATGGAACTATACTGCTGGCCTATGTCCGCGGGCTCTATTAACAACGGCTCGCAAAGGCTTATTGGTGTAGCCCCGCTGAATGGCCGTTTGTTTTGAGAAGCAAAAACACTGTGCAACTAGCTCCGGTAGTTGTCGTATCACCGTAAAATCTAATAGACCTCTTTAGCTTGGGCGTGAAACAACTAGTAATGACAGTAGGTCTAATTTGGGCAAAACAAACGCCTAACCGTTAATAAAAGGTCTATTAAAAGTCCCCCCCCCCCCCCCCCTTTTCCCTT